TAAAAGTCTTCAACTACTGTGATCATTTCATTCCCGTTATGTGTCACGTCTCCGCCTGGTTTCATTGTTGCAAACATTTGATCTCCCTATTCCGAGTTTCCTCTTACCTGTTTTCATGCTGGTACCTGAAATCAATGTTTCATTGGTTATTTGAGTATTGAATTTCCGTACATCTCTCTTCTTTTTATTTATAGTCTTTGTTAGTTCAGCCAATTCTATATTGTCCCTGTTTTACGATACTTACGATTTTTGCATAAGCTGTTTAGTTCTACCGAGAGCTTACTGGAGCTTTGGTTGTCGTTCATTCCGCCTAATTCAAGTGCAACTTCCTTTGTTATGCCATTGAATTATTCGTTGTTTTGGTCATTGTTGAGATCTTCGTCGCGGAAAGGTAAATGTCTGTTTTGGATGTTAAGGCTAAATTCTGTCGCTCTGGTTTTCAAGCTAGCTAAATTTTACTGCGGGTTTTGTATGAGTTTGTTTCTTTCTTTTCTGAGGTGTAATTTAATCTAATTTAATTACAATGCGCCTATTTGAAATTATGAAGTTACTAATCCTTAAATTGTGTGTACAAGGGTTCATCAACGCAGGGCGGCGTGTCTTTAACCGGAGATTTATTAGCACCTCTGCTCCGGAGCGATCCTGATCGCCGTCCTAACCAGGGGCTCCTTCGCCTCCGGGGGATGAGGGCCGTTGCTCTGTTTGTGCAGTCATGGCTTTTGAATGAGAGACAGACAGCCGAGTTACTCCCACACCCACTGGCTTAGGCGTATATTGATCGAGGTGGGGAGGGGAGGAGGTGTAATTTAGCCGGGACCGGGTAAGCCTCCCCCCCCCAGTAGGGTAGAACCTACATATCATAGGAGCAGCAACGCACGGGCATGCTCACTACACCAGGGCATACTCCTGTGACCATGGGTTTGAGTATCAGAAATGCATATATGTGAGATTATATTTCATACACACCCACTTCATGCGCATAGACTGATTGCATTTATGCGTATGTACGCCCAGTGCTGACACAGTTCACCCGCACATGGCCTAAGTACTACACATATGTTCCTGTTCATGCAAATGCACTTGCATATATCTAAGAGCACACGCGCACATAAGTGTGCATACATCAGCAGGTCCATCCATCCTTAAACATATATGTATGCATACATAGACATGCATACATACATATACTCCTACATTGTATCCAACTACACACATGCACATACATACACATATATAACATATGTACCTATATACGCATACATATGTATATACGCACGTACATATATGCGAACACACACATTTACATATATTTTGTACATGTACATATAACTATACATACACAGACATATAACCATACATACGCTTACGCACGTGTATGCGCACATACTTATATGAGTACATATTAGTGTCCAACCACACACACACACACTTATATATATACATATATATATATATATATATATATATATATATATATATATATATATATATATATATATATATATATATGTGTGTGTGTGTGTGTGTGTGTGTGTGTGTATGTATATACCTGTGCGTACAGCTATATATATATATACACACACACATACATAAACACGTACATTCAAACATGCACTAGCGCATATATACACCTGCGACAAATACACTTCCGTGCTGTATATGATATATATACATACACGCAAAAATATGCATATACACTAACGTACACACACACGTGTGTGTGTGTATATATATATATATTTGTATATATATATATATGTATATACATTACATCAATACATATACACCCATACATACACATTTACATATACTTACGAGATACACACACATACACACACACACACACGCGCGCGCGCGCGCGCGCGCGCGCGCACGCACGCATACACACATATAAATATGTATGTATATATACACATATATGTGTGTGTGTGTGTATATTTATTTATACGATGCATATACACACTTCAATATATATACTATAATATTGTGTATAAGCAAATTATATAAACCCAGAGTGTGCCGTACACTTGTTTATAAATATATATGTTTCTACAGCTATTTTAGTAAACAGTATAAACAGTACATACCATATTGATTGTACACTAATCCATGCATTAATGCTCTTAAAAAAACACGCATGCCTAATCACCTTCCTACAAGGAGGTCTTAGTAAGTAATGTATGGCAATCCGTGCTGATGAGCGTCTGTGTTGAAAGGGGCAGTAGTAAAGTGAATAGTAAATTGCCGCCCAGGGAGGTAGGAGTCTCAGGAAAGAACCAAAACGTTATGTTGGAAATGCAGACGAAAACAGAAGAGGAAATGGATCGTGACTTCGCCAAGGTAGGTAAGGCGCCCCTCGGTTGGGCCGTCGCCAGAGATGATGTACCGTGAAAAAGAGAACTATATTAATAACAAATGAGAAAAAGGCAAGTTCATGAAACATGATTGAAAGAGATGGAGAGTAAGTCTTACCATAGATTATACTTATACAAATAAGTCAATGACATGCCATAGCCATAATGAAAGAATACATAGAGGGTATACATACAAAAATAGATTGAGAATGTATGGCTAACTAAAAGAAGTGCAAGTGGCCATGTAAGTGACTCAAAGTCATGCATATTCAAAGACATGCATACGTTATAATACAATGAATAAATTTCTAAACGTGTCTCCGTGGTTACTCGTCTTTCATATCATATCTCGTGGCTCTTGTCCCAAGCCGGTCTGTAATTCACTCCAGAAATGCCCCTCGGCTGCCTGTAGATACCAAGAGCCATTAACGATCGCACATGTAGTGGAAAAATGTGCAGCATTCTCAGACTAAAGACGTATGTACTCGTCTCCCTCGTATACACAAAAAATGCACTGGGGGAGGATTGTGACATACATGGCCTTATTAGTTTCCTGAGGGAAGCTAAGATTTTAAACAAAATTTAATCATACATAATGTTTATGCTGTAAATTTATCCTTTTCAAGCATAATATTTATGCTTTGATTTTAATATGATATTTATTGCTATTTATTTTTGCTTATGAGAGACTTTAATTATTGGTGAATTTTCATGTTTTAAATATATTAACATTTTAATCCCAACGGCAGATAATTTTAAATAATTAATCGACTGCCTGTAAGAAGTGAGAGGTCAGTAACTGTAACTATCAATCTTCTGACATTGCTCACTCTTTCATCATCATTCTTACCTCATATTTCTTCATGACAATTTGGCACTTTAGTATCGTCAGCCAAACTCTTAACGTTCAAGAATGTTCAAGAGTTCACAGCCTGGCCGGGAAAGTGGTAACGTCGCTGCTAATCGCTGATTGGATAATGGTAGGCTTCCACTGCTAGTCGTAAGAAGTATTCTGGTAAATCTCGCCTAGCTGATGCAATGGAATGGTTGAACAGCGTCGTTTCGAGAAGCCGTTCCGTTCGCTGGGCAAGCTGAGCGCTGTTTTCTGACCGCTTGTTCGAAGAACGTAACGTCACACATCAACAAAGAAAAACGTGACGTCACACATCAATAAAGAAAAACGTGACGTCACACAACAAAGATGAACGCGGCAGGCACACCTCAGAATGACTTGCACATTATGTGTCAAATAGTCAGTACTGCTGACCACAAGAACTAGTTTGTGTGTGCGTATGTAGATAGATAGATAGATATAGATATAGATTGATAGATAGACATAAACACACACACATGTGTGTATGTGTGTGTGTGTGTACATATATAGCTAGATGGATATGTAGATATAGATACACACATATAGATAGTTAGTGTTACAGAGTCCTAATATATACGGAACTCTACTTTGTTAAACAGCAAAGTTAACCATGTTAATACGTTTACCGAAGTATTCCTGATTTGGTCGTATTCCCGTTTTCTAGCGATCATCTGTTTCTGACAGGTCAGGGTAGGGCAATGACAGCGGCCCGGTGAAAGAGCTCTCTGCGGGTTCTTGAGAAAAGGGCACTTCTAGGGCCATATATGCTAATTGTTTGTTAATAGATGTCAAGCGCTAAAATTTGTTTCAACTTCCATCGAAATAAGAAATTAACACAGAGTAAAATGTACAGATCGTAAATGTATACAAATGTTTTGTCAGACGGCTGCTCCAACAGACTGAAGGATTCTTTTCATGTAATTTTTGTCTATTTCAAATCATTGTTATATTCATTATTTATACCTATATTACTATTTATAATGAACTTTTGTTATTGGTAACAGTTTATTATGAGTCCTTTTATTACTGGACATAACTTGATTTTTACGAAGGAAAATGCTCCGTTAACAAAGAGGAATGGAATTGATAAAGAAAAATGATAACGAGTGGGAAAGTATAATGAGCAGAAATGAAAATTATTAGTGTTTAATTAACAATACATACACCTAAATATGACATACGCCTGACAATACGTAACTGAGATTGGAACACTGTAAATGTTTTCCTATTTGGATGTTTTATAATTTCGATTTACAGTAATCATGTGAGCTTTAAATTTGATAAGTTTGTAGAAGGTCCTTCATTAGAGGATATTGTGGACTGTGACGTGAAGAACTGACTGAGTTCAGTTAGTTTGGCATTTTGACGTACCAATTCGAGCAGCGTGGCGGAAGAGTGAAATACATACATATTACATATTACAAAATCGCAACTAATATAAAAGGCAAGCTTATATTATCTTTTAAGTGCCATTATAGCTATAACTTGTATAAAAATGAGAAAAATAGTGACATCTAGTAAGCAACCCCCAAAGCAGTTCGTTCGGACTTTTAAATGTGGAGAACAGTACCAAATTACTGTTCAATACGAATTATACCTACATTATGGCATAACTTTACTATTCTGTATGGCTCCACGCCTAAAGTGTAGCCCCGCCCCCTCGACTCCTTCGCAAAAAGTGTCGTGATGGTGGAAATGAGGGCTTACATCTTTCCAAGTAATAAAAACAAATAAAATCAAAATACGAATGTGCCTCTTAACTTATGATTGCCTCCTATATCGCCCAAAACCCCTGTTTTTATCCCCCGGGGTGAGGATGCCCGGCGCGGTGAGGAAACTGCGGCAACAGAAAACGGGAAGTCCATCTGGAGCGACTCACCTGCGCGGCCTCGTCAACTACACTGATGTTTTATTTGTATTACTTTTGTTTTAGTTTGTTTTAGTGTATTTTGATAAACATTTTTACATGGGGTTTTACACGGACCGTAATTGGAAAAGAGACCACCAAGAATTAATTTGTAAAGAACCGTTATTCATCTTGCTTATTATCGTTTTATCTTATCTTCATTATGAACATTTTACATTTTATATTTTTACTAAGCAAACTTTAAAGATATTTAAATTATTATAATAAGAATTATAATGTGTATTGTAAGTTTTTTTGTATGTTTTATGGGAACCAAGATTTAGTTTCGCCGACCGAGCTTACAGTGAAAAGTAACACACTTCAAGCAGAGCGGTTCGAGGTCCAGGCCAGGTCAAGTGCTGGACTGTGGTTGTGGTGCGCAGGAGAAGTGATTAAGTTGCATTATGCGTGAGAGAAGGTGGTTCTCGTTTTAATGTTTGTGCTTCGTGTTTTACCGTGTTTTATGTTTGTTACGTCTTTTGCGTTTTAACGTTTGTGTTTTACCGTGTTTTATGTCTGTTTTATCTTTTGTGTTTGTTTTACTGTGCCATGTTTCGTTTTATTTTCTGTTTTAGCTTTGTCTTACAAAATAAATAGATAATTTTATAATGACTTTTGATAAGTCCCCGACTGTCGGAGACTTATTTTTCTATTTTAGTTTTTCAAAGTTTACAAGCCCAACAATCAAAAACCCTAAAGTATAGATGAAACATCTGTACACGCCTCTCCTCGGGATTCTAACCACACCTACCGCACTTGCATAAGTACACTCCACACACATGCACCCACTACTGTCGCTCCTTTCCACACTTCTTCTGACCTTACATCCCTTCTTACACCATACACTCGTTCCCGAAAGTACCAATCGGGTGGTGGCAGTGACCCCTCTACACACTTTGAATGAGCCTGGGAACGTTACTTACATTGGGTATTTATATCGCAGTACAATCCACCAGTGGAATTTATAAATAATCATCCTCGTCTAACAGAATATAGAGGAAAGGAGAAAAAAAGACTAACAACTTGATTTGAGGCGAGGGCGATGCTAAAGCTCGAAATTAAAAACTGCATTTCAGGAAGCAGCACCTACGCATGCAGTCAATTTGTCACCGTTTCTCGAAGTTGGAATTCCAAGGTTAGCTAGTGTTGATGCAGCGCCTCTCTGCAAAGCCGTGACGTCATGTTGCCTTTATCGACCTGGGATACATTTCATGACTTTCAGTGGAGTGCGTGGCATAGTGAACTCTGGAGAACCATGAGGCATTGTTGTATTGATGTAATGATATGCTTTTTGAAAGTCCATCAGAATCAAGTGTTTATAATGTCAGATTATAATAGAAATTTGTTCCTGCATTACTGTACTTCTTTTTTCATATCTTTTCATATCCCTCTTTGCTCGAAAAGTTGATACAATGTCTCTTAATATAGCATTAATCACAGAGTTTCGTCATTCAACATTAATAATTTACCTACGTCCCTTCGTTTTGTTTGTGTGACTGCTTGTGGCTTTTATCAAGCTATGATATACCTCCATTCTTATCATAACATGACTTGTGTAACATAAGATAGTTGACCAGATGGAGATTAGATTACAATGCACCCCAAAACTCAATAATTCTAAATTCGAACCTCAGTGACAAGCACCTCTTCATAATACTAACACAAGTCGGGTTCCATTACAGACCAAAATCCGCAAGGAAACCATACCCTTCACTTCTTTGATGCATAGTTAACTGCTGAGACGAAGGCTAGCGGTGACAAGCCTGTTGTGAAACAATGTCAGACTGTGAAGATTGCTGTGACTTGGATTGCTGTGACTCGGATTGCTGTGACTTGGATTGCTGTGATGGGGGATTATGCTGTGATTTCTGCTTCGACGTCGGTGAGTATTAGACGGAAGTTTTTTATGTGTAATCACGACAATGGAAATAATGATGGCATTCCGTTTATTCCTGATGATTGAAATGATGATAATGATAACAATGATGATGTTGGCAATATTTATAATGATAATGCCGATAATACTGTTACTTTTAATAACAATCATTGTGATGACAATGATAATACCTATTACCACCAAATTTATCACAATAATAGTTATAATAATAACATCACCTTATCTTTATTCATTAATATAACTAATTTGACAAAAACTTCTGCGGGTGTAATTTGGTTCAGTTAAAAGCGTTTGATAACTAGCACTTCAATCCCAGTATGTGATACCCCACTTTGGCCTTTCCCAGGTCTGGCCAAAGTCTAAAAACATACTAGATTATGACTCCCCTGTTTTGGTCTTTCCCAATGTGAGATACCCCGTTTAGGCTGTCCCAGTACGGGCTACCCCAAACTCTCTGGGTAGTCAGCACTTAGAGGTCACTTGGATGTAACTGAAAACTGGGGGGGTGGATTAGAGACAACAGAAAACGGTAGCGAATTGAGTAAACATTAAAGTAATTGGTAATTGGACTGATTTTACAGGCGATGATTAATAGCGATTATTTGAAGGTATATATCGTATATTTGACTTGGTTTCAATTATAGATTTTCTCTTGCTGTTTATATAGATAGACCTTGTGTGTGGTACCCTTTGTGGTACGCTTTGGTTAATCCGATATTTTTATTTTCAGCTGAAGAAGTGGAGGACAATAAAAAGAAAGAGAAGAAGAAGAAGAAGAAGAGAGGAGAGGAAGATTACTTAGATGTCGTGACATCGCAGCCGACGGCTTCGCAAAACGGATAAAGGAAATGGAAGGATAATCGCTTATGATGGTAGAACTGGAGAGAGATGGAAGAAAGGGGAGGTAAAGAGACTGACAAAAATAGTTATGAATATATGTATGTCTTTGTATACATACTGATTGGAATAATGTATTGATATTTTTGTTTGATGTAACAGTAAATTAAAATTTTGAGGTTAAAATTAAATATAATACTACTTGATATGCTTATTAATGTCCATAATAAGTGCTATAAATTATCTTAATCACAGCTGATAACTATTGAGCCAATCTGTTACGAGAACCAACGTGAAGGTAACTTCAGTTCCTCAAGCAGTTAAGTGAAAATCGCAATAAACAGATTTCTCAGAAGTCTTTGATTGAGAAATATGTAAAAATCTAAAATTGAGCCTTCGCACCCAAGAAACCTCTCTGTCGGGAGCACTTACAATTTCACACACGTACACAAAAAAATACGCTTGGCATGATTTCTCATATATATTCGGCATTACCCATCTATAATCTGCATGTCTTACGAAATTCGTCGGTAACACAAGATTTTTTTTGTTTCAGTATGTAATCATTTCTGAAAGACATCGCGACCTGTCTCCTTTCAATAAGGTATCACTCTTTATACATTTCTCCTTTATATTGCCAATTACACTACGCATGTATAAGGACTCCTCCCAGATCCTTTGCCTTAACTATATGTCTTTGGGCTGCAATTAATCTAAAGTCTGTATGTAAGGATTACAGCTTATTCCTATGGTGTTCTAGGATCATGTATTCCTATGGTGTTCTAGGATCATGTAAACCTTACCGACACGTAGTGGGAATTCCACCCACACCCTTGTTTTCCCCAGCGTAGCACTGCAAACCTCCTGTCCCCTTCACTTTGGTTCTTTTCTTCACCCTGTTATAACTATATGCTTTAAATCTCACCTTTTATTTGTTTGATTGTAGGATGCATTATCGAATAACAATTCTTTATCCCCGACCGATCGAATTTACAGTCAAAAGAGAACTAAAAATAAATGAGTAATAATGATGATAAAAAATATCACAGGCCGAGGACAAAATCGGAAAAAAGGAAAAGATTACAGACTGAAAAAATTAAGGACGATTATTCAAATTATATATATATATATATATATATATATATATATATATATATATATATATATATATATATATATACTATATATATATATATAATATATATATATATAATATATATATATATGTATATATATATGTATATATATATATATATATATATATATATATATATATATTTATATATATATATATATATAATCAAATAAATTCGAACTGAGTGGTGTAATTTCCATACGCGAAATCTATCTGTTATTAAGAAGAAACGATAAAATTATTTTAATCGTATTCACATGTTTTTGTGACAATACATCGGACTTTCCTCGGAGATTTCGAGACTCTCAAGGATCATTAAATAGCAGCTATATTCTACATTCAAGCACTATTAGGATGGGAAATCAAAATTGTTTTATAAATCTAAAAGTTTGATCCTTGACTACAGCCATATAATCCTCGTAAATAAGATTTTCTCGTTTCTCCGTAATAACATTCATTTCTTCGCTGTAAGAGATTATACTATTATTCTTATATTTAGTGTATTTATTTATTATATTTATACACATCGGTCAAAGAAAGCACGTTCTTTTCAGACTGAATTTATCTAATTATGACGTATTTGTGCGGAAAACTTGAAATATCAGCTGGTGACAATTAGCATTTTACGTTTGTTTGTTTTTTGTTTGTTTTGTTGTTTTACCTGAAGATATATAATAAAAGCTTCATACGGAACTCTGCTTAGACCCAACGATGTCTGACTGAGAAGATTGTTGTTCTTACTGCAGCATTTGTGACTGTAATATGGATTGCCAGTCTCTCTGCGAACCATGTTTTGATTATAGTAAGTTTTTGTTAGGTATTTGCAGAAATTGTAATATACTGAATGCGTCTTTAGGTACGGAACGGAAATAATTATTACTTATTAAAGTTGTTTTCTTACCATTACTCATTATAGATCAACATCGCCATGGAAGAGACAGTGATGGTTTCCCTGTGCAAAGGTTTAAGCGTTGTAAAATAAATGAACTATGATGAATTTTCCTTACTCTTTTCCATAACACATATTGTATATACAAATATATATGATAATCGAAACAGACAATCATATATATTCACAAAGTAAAATTTTGATATGCATTATTCTTCATTGAACCCAAACACAGAAATGATTGCAACCACTTGGAAATTTGAAGATTACGTATCCTAAAATTATTTCTTACTTTTTTAGTAGAGTTTGTGTTTATGAAGTCCCGTATTCAACTTATAAAGTTATTTTTCCGATAACTTATATTTTTTTTCGGACATTATAATCACACAGGGCGTATACACATGTTTTGAGGCAGCTGTAATCAAGGTCTTTATTCAGCATATAGATAGGCCTAGCTGTACCATTGCGACTTTGTCTCTTGATTTTGCTTACCTATGGGGATACAGCAGTTCCTCAGATGAGCTTGTTACAGTTAGGGATGGGGAAGGCGAAAGACCGTTAGCCAAAAGTCACAATGTCGCGAAAAAGTAAATCGATCTAAACACACACCTACGAAGTAATTGAAACAATATAATAATAATTCTTGAAAGGGCTGTTTATTTTTACTCTCGTGTTGCATCAGATAGTGATATGATAAACCCATTTAGGAAATTCGTAGCATTGTATTAAGGTGCATCCAACATCAAGGGAATTTAAGCTGGGATTCTTAGCCTGGGGTCCTTGGATGGGTTTCAGAGAGTCCGTGAGGATCGAATAAAAATTACATTCGTATTGTTTTCTTATTGATTGTTTACTTCAAAGATTACTAACACTTTGTGTATCTCATATATATGAGGAATTCAACTCTCAATAAATAAGGTTTATTTTACATAACGTATGCAAAGCTGTGTTTACATGAATATTTCTCAGGACACAGTGCCCATAGCTTTTATCTCTGTTAAAAAGGTTAACAAACACTCATCTGAAGCCTCCTTCACGCGGGGCCACCGGGTCCCACTGTTTTCAATGAAGCCTTTCTTATGTGGCATGGCAGTTAACCAGCAGGTTTATAAGTTTTAGTCATGAAAAGGCGAGCCAGTGGGCGTAAATATTTCTTAATTTACAGATCCAAATTTCATGCCTGGCCATAGCCTGTAACATCTTCACAGGAGGCCACTGGTGTCCACAATCAGTGTTGCCGCACTTGTGGCACATCGACACAAGGGCTGATCTGAAGGATGATCGTGCTATCATCAATTCTTGATTTGTGATTTCAAGTCCTTTTGCGGTTTAGTGAGGTTAATCAAGAGAAACGTGATAGTTTACTTGTTAATTAGCAATGGCCTTTTTATGATTATTATTAACTTCTTTTTTATTTTCTTTTTTCATAATTATTCCAATCTTTAGTTTGTATTGTCCGTTCGTTTCTTTATTAAGGATGTGAAAATGAGTCAAAATGGGAACGTTTAATGAAAAAGTATGTAACATGATACTATTATTCCTTAGAATTTAAATAATTTACGATCATAAAAACATATGGTATTAGTAACAAGAAAGTAATTATTGTAACAGCAATAAATGGTAGTATTGATAAAAAAAATAATACTCTTTTGTTATCATTTTACGAACATGAGGAAAGAGCAGAAGAAAGAAGAGAACGAAAAAGAGAGGAGAGACAAACGTTAAATAAAGATTATAATGATCAGGAAATAGTAAGATAATGATAATAAGAAAGGATAATCATAAGATAAAAATAAAAAGATAGTCTGACGAAAATAAGTTTATGTATGGGTGTTTTTTCATACATATGTATATAAAGAACGTTTATGCTTAAATAAGATTTGTTAACGCAGGTCTACCCAAGGGAACTTAAAGAATTGCATTGATATACAGATCTGTACTTATTTACCAGCTGTATATCCAAACTAATAATCATATCAGTTATATATCCGACCAAATAATTTTCAGGACAAAGGATGATTTTGGAAAATTACGACTTTCAAACGCCAATACGTTATTTCTGAAAATGATTTGCAAGAATTTGTAGACTAGAGACTGACCACTATACATTTTACTACAAAATCCTATGTACATAAAAGAGAGGAGGAGGAGGAGGGAATACATGCATTGGTGTGTGTAGTAAATGAAGACATTTTTTTCTTTTCAGTTCCCGATGTGACAAAGTACTCGTTTTCTTTTAATATATTTATGATTTCGTTTTCTTTTAGTTTAGTTATAAGTGGATAACTGATTTATATGTAGCTTTAGTTCAGGTCAAGTGTATCTTGAACTGAAGTGCTGTTTCTTGCTCCTTGCTCGTGTTTTTCAAGGAGATGACCTCCCCCTGTCGAGGTCAAAGGTCAGTTAGGTCGGCAGAAAGGTAGCAACAGGCCACTCGATTATAAATGGAGTTACATCGAATTTTAAAATATATTTAGATTATAAAGATATACTGACTTAAAATTTGTTTTCCTCGACATTTTTAATTCACTCATTACTCGATAGCTGTTTTGTATATTTTTTTCTATAACTTATATCTCTATGTCTCTCAATCCATCTACTTGCATATATATAGACATCTTTATGTGCCTATATAGATTTATACACACACACACACACACACACACACACACACACACACACACACACACACACACACACACACACACACACACACACACACATATATATACATATACATATACATCCATTTATCTATAAAAGTAAAGTATTGGTGGAGATTGTTATTACTCCTCTCTTATTTATTTATGTCAGATATGTCTGCAGATATTCTAACATGGACTGTAAGATTCTGCGAACCGACATACACACAAGAAGGATGTAATAATAGAAATATAATATTAACACGCATAATGCTCGTTCCAGCAAAATTCATACAGGATTTTTTTTTTTAAGTTCACTCATATTACTTTGTATTTCAACAGTTTTGCAAGCAGCGTAACTAACCTGGTTTGTGAGAATTTCCAATCAGATATTCAAAGAAAAGGAATATCCGTAACAACAGAAAAGCTATTATTCAGGGTGTGAGAAGAAAACTTTATTTTTCAAAATGATCTTCATGACTTATCTGAGGTCCCAAATTCATGATGATTCCGTATCTTTCTATTTCTTGTTTGCTGTTCCCTATCTTTTTTTTTCGATTGCATTGTGTCCATTGCCTATACATACGAGAGTTTAGTTTATGATCATGATTATCAAAATGTTCATAATTTCATTTGCATGCTCGCCTGCAGTTTCCGTTTTCATTATCATAATCATTCTTTCAGTAAATAGAATCTTACATATAAATGTTTCTTCTGTTTTTGTTAATGTTGCAATTGTTCGTTATTATAATTTGATAGAATCTGTCAATCTTGGTCGTTAAGGTAAACAAATTTTATATATTAATTATTTATACTTATGTACCGTTAGTATTGTTATAACTACTGTCATTGCTACAATTTATACATATCTCGTACCATAAATTCTTAATTTAAAAGCCTGTAAATGTATATCACCAAACTATTCCATTACTTGATACTTGTTATCTAAGCATAATAAAAGTTAAAACAACACGCTATGGTAATTTATTACATATAGGGACATGTACCGTCCGTTGTATTTTTCTAAAGTATGTTGCACACAGATGCTTTCACAAGGTTTTTCATTTATTTTTATTTTATTTTTTTCCTGCTATTTATATCGATACGATCATTGTTACTATTGACATTATAGTGCCATATGACCTTGATGTCAAGAACATATATTTATTTTTACCATTAACCATTGGCATTATAATTGTTAATTGAACTGTAATAGCAATAAAACGTCACTGGTTATCAAAGATAACTGCAAGTTACAAACAGGTACGACAAAGTTTTGCTGAGGTATGGTTGAAAATTGTGATAGTCGTTATAATAATCATCTATGTAAGTAATTGACAGTATGCATTTTTCTCCATTTTACCGTAAACACGTGCAGTACGTAAAGTGCAAATGGGAATGCATACAAAATTTATCAGTTAAACTACGTACTCATATATAAGGCTACAAGGCTGAGTGGAATATACCTACGTCAGTCTTGTGTGATCTGAGCTCTACTTAAGTAATATATAATGATTTCTTTATAGTCTGTTTACAACTGTTTGCTTAAGTCAAATATATGATTATTTCCTGTTTGTTAATTCATTATTTCCACCTAAAGAGAGGTTTATATATTCATCTGTTCTTTTACTATATCTTTCCGTGCTCTCTCTCTCTCTCTCTACATTCTACATTCTGTTTTACGTGTGTCATAATTATTATCATGTATGTTCATTCATTTCTTCAACGAACTCCACTCATAAAGCTTAGCCACGCCCCCTCGATTCCTGTTGTAAGAAAGGTGTCGTGACGGCGGAAATGATGCAGTGTGGAATATGTTAGCTATAGTTTAAAACAAGTATATTAAAACGTACAAATGAAGCTGTGTATATACATATGTGTGTGTGTGTTTGCCGCGTAGTGAGTCACTGGTGTACCATGGGGTAATCTGTCCCATCGATGCCCAAAAATGGAGAAATATATAATTCAACAATTTGCGATGTTTAAGCACACATCTGAGTATAATTGTGTAAGTAATGTTTTTTTCTTAATAAAGAATAGTTAAAGATTATTATGAACACTGCTTCTGACTGAAAATAAAGAATATACCGATATTCCTTTCTATCCACCATCTCATTTTTATAATGAATATGAAAAAAAAAATTCTTGATTTAGCTTTTTCATTGTTTTATCACTGTTACTGAAACATTCATACGTAATAACGCATCAAACAATTTCCCTTCTTTACCATGAAAAATATATAGATTTACCTAATTTCTACTTCTATACAACAAAACAATATACTTTCTTGTTAAATAAGTACTAAAATTTCTTCCTTTCTGGCAAATGAATGATACTGTCTGCAAAGGAATATTATTTCATAGTGTTTTTCATAGATCCAGGGGGTACAAGTGTCACAAAATGCTGACGTTCTCCTAGCTTTATTGCGGGCCTCATTATGTCCTTAATTTTCAGAGATTTTCTCTT